GATAAGAGGCAATCTTCACTACACTTCCTACCACTCTTCACCGCTACACTGCTAACGAAGGGAATGGTTTGAACTTCCCATGGAACTTCGAATGGAGACCTAGGTACATCGATAGAGCCTCGAATGCTGATTACGAATATGCAGATTAAAAGTGCTACGGGGACCTCCCAGACGAGATCTGGGAGGTCAAAGTTTGCGAAAAGTCGGTTTTTTTTAAAAACAAAAAACTTAGTAATAGTAAGTTATTCATACCATTCAGATATATGGATGACTTGTTTATCATACATAACCAAAATGAGAATGATGTGGACATGCAGCTTATAGAAGTTTACAAAAATGTTTTACAGTTGAAAGAAGACTCATATAAGTAGTAGCAGTTCCAACTACTTAGATTTGAAAATAGATATAACTAATGACAGGATTACCACTTCATTGTACAATAAAACTGATGACTTCACATTCAAAGTCATTAGGTTTCCACATAGTAAGCAATATTTTAAACAACAATTAAAGCTTCAGTTATATATACAGAAACACTTAGAATCGCCAACACCTGTACAGACTTGAATTCTCATTGATTTTCTACTCTATAACACATACATACTCATTCAGTCTGTTCCTAACTCACTGATGAGCCTCGGGGACAGACTGAATATAGTGGTTCGTCTGAGTTGAGGCGAAACGAACCACCTCCTCTCTTAATACCTACTAACTTACAATAACTCCTTTTTGTATTTAATTGGACTTAGCTGGAGCTCTCCAACCTTCGAGGGCAACCCGTGGTTGGTGTTGCTGCAGTTCCGTCAAACCTTTATAGGTATTATAAGAGGCGATTGCCTCAGACACCAGTGGTGTTTTTAGACCAGTGGTCTTTCTAACGTCAGTGACGTTTTCTTTTCATTCCTTCATACTTTTTTTGCCACATTCAATACAATAACGCAACAACATTTTATTAGTTAAGCTAATATTCAACAATAATTAGTTTCATTTGAACAATCCAACATTCTAAGAGTTTAAAATCACATTTCACTTCCTTAGGTTTCTCCATTTTCTTCTTCTACAACACGTGGCATCTTTGGGGAAACTGTTTCCCTAGATTCTCCGTCAGCAGCATCACGTTTTCGACATATTCGACCTTCCTATAAAACCAACCTCCTACTTATTAATCACAGTGCTTATACTACTGATCAGCTTAATGATTTACATCGTTTTTCTTGGTAACACTCTCTCCACTAGTACTTGTTGTTCCTAAGCATAATAGCTCTTCTAAGGTGACCATTCCATATGATAGCTTTCCTTCCTAAAATATTACAGTAATACCATTACCCTTCTACACTTAAGTGAATAGTAACAACCTACGTTTAGCTCCTTCAGCTCCACTACACTCATCAAATCATTTATGAACACCAAACCAACTTCTATAATCCCATCCTAGCTTTACCGCTAATGTAGTGGATCTCATAGTCTTAACTGAGTCTATTTAAAATATCCTTATCTCCCATAATATTTCCTAATATTTAATACTAACAAAGTCTTTCTTTGAAGGGAGACTCTTAAAGCTAATATAACCATTCTTCACCGTCATTTCTGGGAGTTCTATCTTATTGTTGGTGCAGTATTCCCTTATACGCTTTCGCATATACAAACTGGAAATATCCGATTGTTTTACACTTCCATAGGACATGGTTATCTTCCTATGGCACTTTACCTCAGATTTTCCATATCTCCTAGGTGGATAGTTTTATCACGGAACAATTGTATACTACACTTATGTTCTTTGTTATAATCCAAAAGGTTCCTTTTTCCTTTGGTTGGTAAAAAATTCCCAGAAACTCGAACTTATCTCATCCTATAAAGATGCATATTACAAAGGAAAGGTAATCATTATTGACGTAATTCTTCAACTAGACCTACCCTAATGCTACTACTGGTTCCTATTTTTCCTATACCCCTTACCCACCCGATGGCATTGACATCAGCTTTGTTGTCGTAGCTAGAAATATTCGGTTCTCTTAAAGTAGTGTTAACTCATAATCATAATTAACTCACCAAACGATATCGTTGATGAATTTCTTGGCTAACTCTGTATTGTCAAATTGTCTTTGTTTGGTATCGATAGTATACGTATGTTCTTTGAAAGGACATGTTTGTTTACAACCTCTTGTTGCTTATTGATACGTAGTTTCTGATCGAAATTCTCACAATCAAAGCCAGGTATCTATAACATGATATTCTTAGCCGTTCGAGGTTGTTGATCGCGCTTTATATTCATTACCTTCTCCATTGTATAACTTTTCTTCCTATATCGCTAACACACCTTCCAGCAATGTATCTTACCTACAATCCTCCATGATAGTTTGAAAAAGTAACTTCAAACCATGACAATTACATGTATATAAATACAAGTTTATTTGTAATTCCCTTAATTGCTCGCCAGCTAATATTGATCGTTATCGAACTATGCTAATGATTAACTTAACCAGATACGTAACACTACAATCTAACAAGTTATTGTTATTTACCAACAACAACTACCTTGTGAACATTGCTATAACTCAACACTCATAACATATAAAAACGGTAAATTAAAGGTAAAATATTAACTTAGATACATACCTTCAAAAAAGGAGTACAAAACAATATATTTGGGTGACTTATCCTCGATAATAAACAGAAGACTGATAAGGATAATCACTTTGGGACTCCACACCATAAACCGGACAATTACTGATTTCCTACAAAACAAAAAAATACATAAAATAATAACTTATATACGATATTAAATCAAAAGATACCTACCTGAGATAGCAATTGTCAATAGGCTGTGAAAGGACCGCTATCAATTTTTTTGACACTCAAATTAAACTATATAGGTGATTATACTTACATTAGTGAAAAAAACACATAACTACATTCTATTATACAGTGGTAAATTAAATTAGTGTCCCGACATTCTGTATACCGATTAATAATTCAATTTATACATCAAACGCACAATTACTTCTGGAGGTAAAAGACTAAGGTGTCTGTGGAGGATACGAACTCTTAAAAAGTATACGAACTGTATAAGTAACATTAATATTAAGAAATATACAGCTGAATAAACATAGTAATATCCACTTACCTGAATAGCTTCTGATGATACTAATATCAAATCGGAAAGCAGGTAGTTCCTTAATAAGATTATACTAATATAACAATTATTACCATACATTATTTACTAGGCAACGAAGTTAAAAAAACGTTAAAGTTAACAACTAGATAAAGTAAAACACTACTTAATCACCTTATAATTTGCAGTAAAGTTAAAATAAAAATATCCACTCACCTGAATAGATGTATGACCAACCAAGTAATAATAATACTTAAGATTATCCTGTAAATAAGGAAATATCAATATTACTGCGATATAATCTGTCATGTCAACACCACTATATAACCGGCCATAATTGAAATAAGAGTATCCACCTATCTGAGCAGCCTTAGGACGGTCCCAATGTCAAGCAGAGTCAAGTATACCCTCTTAAAATAACATTTATTTCCTTACATAATTCAACATAACAACATAAGAATACTTTTGCATACGATATTGGAAAAATCTCTACACGACAAGGATGATATTCATAATTTACATAATAAATACTTTAAACTAAACAAACAAGCATAAGGATCATTATGATACCTACACTATATCCTGTAACAAAACCAGAGGCAATATAGATGCAGTATACACTCTGTAAAGTAGTCATATTAGTACCACCTATATTACAACTTCCGCTTAGTTAACTTATACAATACAAGGATAAGGTGATAAATATACTTACCTTAGTAGCTTTGGAATAGCCCAGCGGCTTCGCCGGCCGATCCTCCTTCCGGTGTGAAGTGGGTCCCTGTGAGAAGTTTTCCATGAGAGGGAGGGCCAGTCGGATCGGCTTCGCCGAATGGTCGAAAAAAATATTGTTTTGAGAATTACCGCACTTTACCGTTTCACTTCTTGTATATACCCCCCTAGAAGACAGTCATCAAAATTTTCTATGCGGCACTCCCCTTAGTGATGAGGAATCGCAGAATAAACTATTGCCGACGGTACCAACCATTTGGTATACTCCCTACGGTTATCCCGAGATAGGGAGCTACGCCGTGTCTCGTAAACAGTTACTGAGGGCATAGCTTAGGTTACCTTGCTTAAGCTCCCTGAAAATTGGCTCATCCTATAGCAATCCCCTCCCTGAAAATTGGCTCATCCTATAGCAATCCCAGTTAGAATCCGTCCAACAGAAGCAGTTTTATGTAGTCTTCAGTTTTTGGGTGGTCAGACAGACACACACACACAAACAACTTCTGGTTTATATATAAGAAGATAATCAATACACAACAAGAATATAACACCAAACTCGCTTATTTAAGGGTAAATGCTAATAAATTAGCCCACAAGATAATCAATACACAACAAGAATATACACCAAACCCGCTTATTTAAGGGTAAATGCTAATAAATTAGCCCACAAGTTTTTAAGTTCAAATGCACAACTACTTTGCGTATATGAAAATGGAGGACCAGGAGTAACGTCGAATTTCAACCTGTAAAATGAATGGTATTAATTAACCTGTATTTAACCAATTAATTAACTAGATTAACCGTAATAATGTTATGAATAAATAGAATAACCTCAACAAGTATACACACATATTTTTTAGAGCAATACTATGTAAACTTCTTACCTTTCTGACTACGGAATAACGAAGTTTTTATTCCTGAACGGTACACACTGGTCCACTGAAAAATATTAAAATAATAAAGTAATTGGAAAGTAATAGTATTCACCAAGTAAGGGAAATCACGATGTAAACGAATTGGACTGGAGGGCTGTAGTTAAGAACAGAACCAGTTAGGACTATAGAGATAATAACAACTAGTGCTTTGTGTTGTGGGCAGGCACTAGTCGCTAGTATTAGTCATTCAGGGCGTCGTTGCATTTCGTAATACTGAGAACTAAGTGTTAAAAGAAAGAACAAGCCTAAGAGATTTAAATTTTGACAAACCAGCACAGCATAAAGGACTATACTTTTAATAAAAGGAAAAAAGGGTGTCATTGTTAAACGCGGCTGGTCGAGGGTACATTTACGAGTTAACGAATACTTGATTGCATCATCGTGGTTTTCAGCGCACTAACTCGTTATTACAGTAACCGGTTGAGGACTAATGGTAATCACCGTCAATTCCTTTCTAGTTTATTGATTACGGTGAAAGTCATTTTGTGTAGTAGATATTTGCACGTAATTTTGCTCTGATGGTGGCGTTGTTTTCATTGATTCCGTGTACATTCACCAATTATTTGACTTCAATTCACACGGGATGTCCTAATTGCCAAATATATGGAACTATCACATTTAAATGGTTAACTACTTAATATATATGGACATATTTATAAATTTAAGAATGTTTTTCCTTTTCCTAATACTCTAGGTTTACCTACAAAAAGGGAAAAGTAGTTTAACCAACTGAATTCGGTTGTTCAGCACTAGTAAGAGATGGGAAACCCTAAGGTAGGATATTATTCATGGACATGATAAGATAAGATATCATACTGGAAGTTCGTACTTCAGAATTTAGGTCTGGATATTGGATGTTTCAATTTTCCATAAGGACCATGACTTTGACAACGGTATGGTGGACCATCACATTTTTTGACCTCTTTACTCTCGTTAGGAAATCTCC